AAGACAGCCTAAGAGACCTCTGGGACAACATAAAATGCAACAACATTTGCATTATAGGGGTCCCAGAAGTCTCTTAGGCTGTCTTCATTTCTTTTCATTCTTTTTCTTTATTCTGTTCCACAGCAGTGAATTCCACCATTCTGTCTTCCAGGTCACTTATCCGTTCTTCTGCCTCAGTTATTCTGCTATTGATTCCTTCTAGTGTAGTTTTCACTTCAGTTATTGTATTGTTCATCTCTGTTTGTTCGTTCTTTAATTCTTCTAGATCTTTGTTAAACATTTCTTGCATCTTCTCGATCTTTGCCTCCATTCTTTTTCCGAGATCCTGGATCATCTTCACTATCACTATTCTGAATTCTTTTTCTGGACGATTGCCTATCTCCTCTTCATTTAGTTGTTTTTCTGGGGTTTTATCTTGTTCCTTCATCTGGTACATAGCCCTCTGCCTTTTCATCTTGTCTGTCATTCTGTGAATGTGGTTTTTGTTCCACAGGCTGCAGGATTGTAGTTCCTCTTACTTCTTCCTTAGTGCATGTATTTCTTTTTTTTTGCGGTACATGGGCCTCTCACTGCTGTGGCCTCTCCCGTTGCAGAGCACAGGCTCCAGACGCGCAGGCTCAGTGGCCATGGCTCACGGGCCCAGCCGCTCCATGGTATGTGGGATCCTCCCGGACCGGGGCACGAACCTGTGTCCCCTGCATCAGGCGGACTCTCAACCACTGTGCCTCCAGGGGAGCCCTGCATGTATTTTTATATAAGCAACATGGGGGCAGGAGAAGTGGATCCAGGGTCAAAGTAGGACTTCATAGGACCTAGAGACAGACCTGTTGGATGAAAGAAACACCTGTTACTGATAGTGAAGAAAGGAAGGTCTTTCATTAATTGTGGACATAGCTGACAGATACGGTCATAGTAACATGTGTCAATGAGCATTTATTTCTCATGTCTGCGGGTCACCTGGGAGTTGGCTGATCTAGGATTTGCTCCACGTGTCTGTCTTCCTTGTTGGACCTCCTTGGAAAGCTAGCAGAGGCATGTTCTTCTCATAAAAATGTCAGAGACAGAAGAAGTAGAAAAACAAAAGACCTCTTAAAGCCTGGGCTCAAACTGTCTCAGTGTCACTTCTGCCTCATTCTAGTGGCCACAGTAAATCACGTGGCTGAAAACAAAGTCACAGAACAGGGGATGGGAACTAGATTCCACCCGTTTAGTGGGAGGGATTGCAAAGTCACATGGCAAAGGGTACAGATAGGAGGAGGGGCAAGTATTGGGGCTAGTAATGTAATTCTGCACAAATACTAAAGTTTGAAATGAAGGTGAATAGGTGACATAACATTTCAGAGTTCACACTAAGTGTGAGTATGCTCTGATAATACAGTATAAATAACTACTGAAAATGACACTAGTGCTTTATCTGCTTTTCAGGGCTCTAGACGTTAGGAAAAAAAACATCAGATGGAGAGAGAAATTTTTGAAATCTACTACTTTACAGTTTTACTTAGAATTTGTCCTATTTCTCTTTAAGTATATGGATGAATAAAAACTGTATAGGCTAGAGTGCCTGGAATCTTGGTTGCTGCTTTAGTCTTCAGTATTAAAAAAATATTTTACTTAAAGGATAAAATCATGAAAACACAGTAGTGCCAGGGTAGAAATGCATATACAGCTTTTTACTAGAGTTTTCATTTCAAGAAGTGAGCTGTGTTTGAGTCACTAGCATGAATTTTCAAGTTTTGGGTACAGAGCAATGTATCTTCCTCAGTTTATTTTTACATTATTGTTTTAAAAACTTTGCCGTACTTACCAAAGATAAAGGATTTGTTAGAAACAGCTTTTAAAGAGGAGCAGTGAATTTTACTAATGATAATGGTAAATTATAAAGAAACTTGACTGTTTTCTGAGAATTAATACTGAACTGTTACCTTAAGCTTTTACATTTTTTCAAATCCGTAGGTTTTTAAAAGAGTGTCTGGATTTGTTGTCAAAGCTGGGAGGCAGGTTTAATTGTCTCCTTATGGTAACAGTATTTTTAGAAATTAAAGACGTATATTGATATTTGGAATTTATAGTCATGTAAATGGTTCTAGAGAAAATGTAGCAAATTCTTTACTGTTTTACATATTTGTACTTAAAGAATGTATAAAACATTTTAAGAAAGAAATATTGAAATATTATGTGTATTCTCAGTAGATGCACTCATTACCAAACCTGATTAAAGTAATATTTCCACTGATGGCCTCTTCTAACCTCTACCTCTAAGGAAATATTTTTAGTGTGGATTGATGTGATGTATGTGGATTGAGAGTGATTTTCTTCCCTCCCTCTTCCTTTTTTTTTTAAAGCAAACTTTGCATAACTTACTGAGCAAGGTTTCTCCTTCCTTTTCTGCTGAACTTAAACAACTAAATCAGCAATATGAACAGTTATTTCATAAATGGATGTTGCAGTTACAGTAAGTACTATTATCATTGTAAACCTTTGTAAAATAAAGAATAATATATATTTACATGTCTATGTTAAAATCAAAGCAGTTTGACATTTAATTTTCTTTTTGCAATGAACTTGATATGTATTTTTATTTATATGTAAAAATTTGAAAAAACAGGTGTTTTCCCAATTTTATGACCCAAATGTAGAAATGTCATATTATTATATGACTCTTCTCAGAAATTCCAATTTTCAAGAAATTTGTCTTTTCTAAGTTTTTTTTTTTTTTTTTTTTTTTGCAGTACGCGGGCCTCTCACTGTTGTGGCCTCTCCCGTTGCAGAGCACAGGCTCCGGACGTGCAGGCTCAGTGGCCATGGCTCACGGGCCCAGCCGCTTCGCAGCATGTGGGAGCTTCCCGGACCGGGGCATGAACCCGTGTCCCCTGCATCAGCAGGCGGACTCTCAACCACTGCGCCACCAGGGAAGCCCTGTCTTTTCTAAGTTTAATCAGACTTGAAAGCTATTGTGTAAAATAGCCTTTCTTAGAATTATGAATTATTACTTATAAAAATATTTGAAAATATAATTTGTCAAGATTGATAAATATATCAGTTAGATTTTAATTCAGAGTATCTAAAATGAAAGAATATATATTTTTCTTTCAATCTCATTCTGTTTACATGTACTGTAGACCTTCAGAATTTCATAAGATCTGTTCTCTAAACATTATTTTACCATTTTAAAATTGTTTCTTAGAATATTTTTTTAACTTTATCATTTTTCAAATACCTCAGGTTAAATTTAAATTTCCATTAAAACACCTAGAAGAATGATAAAGATTAAAACGTAATAATTTTTTTCTATAATTACTTTTATATTCGTATTTAAAAGGACCTTAGTATAAAGAAGTGCTTGAAGTGTATGCTAAAATGTGAATGGTGCAGTAAGAACATAAAAATTGCCACAATTTTCCCCAATTGATCCTGGTTTTCTTTGCCAATAATAAAGCAAAGGAGTATGCTAGTAAGAAAATGATTATCTTCCCTGTTAGGACCTTACCTTCTCTCAATAACTATTTATGGACCTGTTCATTTTGAATTTATAAGGCAGATCTTCACGCTGATCCCACCCCCCAGTCCACCAATTCTTCTTTCTTCCCATATGTCAGCTTTGATAACTTGATTTGCTTTGCTTCCCAGCCTAGACCTCATAGTCAGCTACTTTAGTAGAATTGATAGCTCTCTGAACTCCCTTGCTTCTTTTTTCTGCTGCTTCTATTTTGCTAATCTCTGCCTTTGGGGGTTATCTCTTTTCTTTTCTATTTCCAGGCTATCCTGCATTGCTACAGAGCATCACGTAAATATTGTTTCTGATTGACCTCCGTTAAAAAATCATGGAGTTGAACTTTAGCCTGACCCCTAGTGCTTGGTGTTCTGGGTTGTCTCATTTTCTCTCTTGGCTTCAGTTGCTTTTTGTATGTGAATAACTGCCATAACTATATCTCTAGCCCAGCCAGATCTCACTCCTCGGCAGCAAATGTGAATGTATATTGGAAGTGTCCATGTGGGTGTCCTGTAAATAATTCAATATACATAAAATTTAACTTATCTTAAATCCCTCAATCCCACCTGCCCCAGCTACCTCGCATAGTGGATGCACCCCATTCATGCAGTCTATGCCAAAAAACTGAGCTATTCTTAATAGTCCCTTTCACTTAACCTTCCATGTCTGATCACTCTCCAAATCCAACCAATTTGACCTGTAAAGCTCTTGACACATTTGTCTCCATGACACCTAATTCAAGTCCATAGTCTTTGGTGGTTTTACCCTCCTTCCTATCCGTTCCCCCACTCAGTCAATGTAATCTTCTAAAAAGATCATGTTACTTTCCTATTAAAACCTTTCACTTAACACCTGACTCTTTACTTTTAAATGCTTATGTTCCTTGGAATAAAATCCAGTTAATGTCTTAGTTGATTTAACAACACTTTTGTGACCTGGCCCCTGATTACTTTTCCAGTTTAATCTATCAGTTAAAACTCTGCTTCAGCCTATAAGACTTTTTAGTGTCTTGTACCTAGTGCCATGTTCTCCCTTGCCTCTTATTACTTGAAAGGTAGTAGAAGTTTGAGAGAAAGTTGGAACTGCAAGCTTGGTGTACAGATAATAAAACTGTTCACTTGCTTTATATAAGTTGGGAATCAATAGTTATTTAGCCATGCCATTTCTTCCTGTATTCTTTATAAGCTTAAATTAAGGAAACTGGTTGATTATAAAATTGGCAATAAGACGTACTGAACTTGGGCTTCCCTGGTGGTGCAGTGGTTGAGAGTCTGCCTGCCGATGGAGGGGACGTGGGTTTGTGCCCCGGTCCGGGAGGATCCCACATGCTGCAGAGAGGCTGGGCCCGTGAGCCATGGCCTATGAGTCTGCGCGTCCGGAGCCTGTGCTTCGCAACGGGAGAGGCCACAACAGTGAGAGGCCCGCGTACCGCAAAAAAAAAAAAAAAAAAAAAAGAGAAGTACTGAACTTTAATTTCATGAGTGCTGTTTTTCTTACAGCCTGGGGTTCAACATTGTGCTTTATGGTTTGGGTTCTAAGAGAGATTTACTGGAAAGATTTCGAACCACCATGCTGCAAGATTGCATTCATGTTGTCATCAATGGCTTCTTTCCTGGAATCAGTGTGAAATCAGTAAGTTTTAAAAATGTTAAAAGGAACAACATCATATCCCCTGCCAATCCATATCCCCATGTTAATGAGGATGCTATTTCATATTCTGGAGCATTCAGTTTTTGTTTTTACTGCAATAGTTTTCACACTAGTAGGATTGCACAGTGCTTAAGATCATGTGTTTGGACTCAGAGGGTTCTAGCTTTGAATCCCCATCCTTGAATTTCCTATTTGGTAACTGATAATATATTAAATCTTAGGGAAATGTTAGCTTTGTTTACTACATTGAATACCAACAGTACTTCTCTCAAGGATAGGATTATGGGGGACTTCAGTTTTATTATGCTTTTATGTCACTTTAGTGCTCTAAAAATAATAAAAATATAAGAATGGTTTACAGTTCTTTGATCATTTTTACTCCAGATGCTCATATCTCTTCATCATTTGAAAGTTAATTTAAACCTTTTGAGTTCTGGATATTAACCAATGTAATATTCCTTTTTAAAAGTGTCCTTAATGTTTGGGTCCTCTTTCATTTGCTAAATCTATAGTTTTCTAATATTTTTCATATTGTTAGTTTTTGGTTTTGTTTTGTTTTTACTACCTGCTTATGTTATCTTTACACCTTTGCTATTCTTCCTTGTTTCCTTTTAGCGATAACTTATGCAAAGAAATGAATTAGATGTACTTAAGTACCAGTAGAATTTTTGAAGTGATTTTTCAGACTTAGTGGGAAATCCAAATATAGTTTTAATTTATTAAAAAAAAGGATTGGGGCTTCCCTGGTGGCGCAGTGGTTGGGAGTCCGCCTGCCGATGCAGGGGACACGGGTTCGTGCCCCGGTCCGGGAAGATCCCACATGCCGCCGAGCGGCTGGGCCCATGAGCCATGGCCGCTGAGCCTGCGCGTCCAGAGCCTGTGCTCCGCAACGGGAGAGGCCACAACAGTGAGAGGCCCGCGTACCAAAAAAAAAAAAAAAAAAAAGGATTGGTTTGCTAGTTGTATTTATCCTACATGACAGAATAAGTTATAACTGATGTACCTCTTGCACTTTTATGACATAGATCCTGAATTCTATAACAGAAGAAGTCCTTAATCATATGGGTACTTTCCGCAGTGTGCTGGATCAGCTAGACTGGATAATAAACAAATTTAAAGAAGGTAATGTGAAGGAGATGCTCTATAGTTTTAGGGTGAAGCTAAGCATACTTATTTGTGTACTAGTATACATAAAATTGAGGATTGTTTTAATAATGACACTTCTCTCAATGCTGATTTAGATTTTGATTTCTTTAAAATCTTTTTCTGTGAACTTTAACTTACCTAACAGGAAAGAATTACTCCTGCTACCTTGAATTTATATAGCCAAAGCCTCTTTTTTTTCCCCCCAAAACCTTTTATTTCAGGATAATTTTCAAGTTTTGTTTGGCCAGTGTAAAGTGCTTCCAGTTAATTGGCACCTCTATGTCCGATAGTTTTATATTGTTTAATATGTTTATAAAGCATTCTTATCTTTATCCTGAGTAAGTATCAATGCATTTGAATAATTTCATATACTAAAATCTGAGAAATGGGGGAAAAAACATTTGTTGTTCTTTTGGTGTGAATGTTTTTGTTATATGAGCATTTCAGAAAATTAAAAATAAAATTATTTAGGGTCTAACAATTGTCATTTAGTCATTGCTTAACAATTAAATGGAGTAATTGGTTATGCTTAATGATTTAATGGATGATTTTGATATTGTTTGTATGCTCACTAAAATAGGTGCCTGAATCATTTTTTATATATATTTATATGTAGTTACTCTATTATATATAATCTGTATTATAATAAATATTTATATATTATATAATCTGTATTATCTAAATATAATTTATATTAAATAATTTATAATTGTATAAATCATATAAATGTTTTACATAGTTATAATATAGATGTTATATAATTATGAATTATATAAATTATAATTGTATATTACATATGTAATATAATTATATGTTTGTTTACATATAATTTAAATACTGACTATGGTGACTTCTAGAATTTAAGGAACCTTGGACTTTCAGAAGTGTGTCATCTCAGAATCTTTGTCACTATATTGTCTCTCTTGTCCCTCTATCCCCAGTGGAAGAGAAATGTACTTATTCTCTTTAAAAGGCTCATCTTTTGTCATAAATGCCAATGTCCCATTTCTTACCAGCTCCTGAGGGACTTAGCAATGGCTTTTAAACATGTATAGAACTTCTTCCATCTTAAGAAAAATATTTACCTGATTCTACTGCCCTTTTACTCTGTTTTATTTCCCTATTTCAATATGATTTGAGAGTTTTTGAAGACATGTCCTGCCTTCTACTGTTTGTTTCCTTCTTACTTTCTTGTCTCTGTGCTACCTGAATTGTATGCTTGAAGATCACCTGTAATTTTTTTCATGCTAAAAACACTGACCTTGCCTCACCCTTTGTTTATCTTCATCTCTCCAGTATTTGATGGTGTTGACATCTCCATCATCCAAATTCTTCCTTCACTGACTTTTATGATATTTTACTTCTCTGACCTTCTTCATGCTTTGGGCAGTATCCTAAGCCTCTCCCCTTCTTTGGTCTCTTGGCTTTTGTGACAACCAGGGTTTTCTATATTCTCTCTTAATGCTTAATGAGAACTCTTTTTTTTGGAGGAGGGGACGACTCCCTCCTTTATCCCACCTTGCAATTCAACATGCACAGATTCACCTCCAATCCAATATGTATCTTGCCTTATTTCCTATGCCGTATTAAAACTGGTTTCTTCATGGTCTGATTCAAGTGTTAACCATTCTGGTTAAGTCTCTAACTGCTCCAGTGTCTACTGATTTCCAATGAATTTCTTTTTTTTTTAAAGACTATAATAATGTCTTGCCTGTTTTATGAGTGACTGACATAGCTTCTCAAATAAATTGCATACCCCTAAGCAATAGTTCTTTTGTCCTGTGCTACTTTGATATATTCTTTAGTACAGTCCTTGCATGTGGTAGGGGGCTTCACAAGTACTCACTGAATATAATAATTGCATTCTCTTTCCTTTTAGAATCTTCTTTAGAACTCTTTCTTCTTATCCACAATTTGGATAGCCAAATGTTGAGAGGAGACAAAAGCCAGCAGATTATTGGACAGTTGTCATCTTTACGTAATATATACCTTATAGCATCTATTGATCACCTCAATGCTCCTCTCAGTAAGTTAAATATTACTGTTTTTCCTTCTTGAGATATCAGTCTTTGAAAATTAATTTTCTTAATGTTGTCACAGCATTTTTATTGTTTTAAAGTATGCTTTTCCTTTGTTGCGTGTTTAAAGACATAGTTGCCAAAAATGTAGGTGTCCTTAATCTGATTTAGAACATAATTCTTGGAAATAAAAATTTAGATAGTAAAGGGTGTGTTTTACAGCTAAAGTTTCATGAAGGAGAGGAGACCCAACTATTATTTTGGTTTCTTTCTACTCTTCTTTGTGGAATTGCAACATTTATTTTATGCATTTAATTCAGACTTTGTGATAATCCTATAAAATAAAATGTTAAATTATTAAAATTTTTAAAAGAATGCCTTGGTAGTGCTAATATATTTTAACTTGTATTTAATATACAAATAAAGATTCAGATGTTGATTGACAGTGAAATTAGATTGTGAGGTACTGATTTGGATGGGGAAATAGCAAAAATGAAAATTTTCAGGATTCACTTTTTATTTAATGCTTTCTGTTCTTTCCTAGAGCGGAATCTAGTAACAAGACAATATGAAAATAATTAGTAATTCTTGTTTTCTTTGATCATGTACTCTAGTGTGGGATCATGCAAAGCAGAGTCTTTATAACTGGCTCTGGTATGAAGCTACTACATATAGTCATTATACTGAAGAAACCTCCTATGAGAATTCTCTTCTGGTTAAACAATCTGGATCACTACCACTTAGTTCCCTAACTCATGTCTTACGAAGCCTTACCCCTAACGCAAGGTAAGAATGAAAACTATAGTTTCTTTTTCAAAAAACTCTATATATTTTAAGATATGCCATACTTTTAATGGCTATACTAAAGTCCTTACTTAGTTTGCAGGATTGAGAGAAATAGTAGTAATAATAGTTGCCAGTACTGGGTTATGCATTAGGCAGACTACTCAGTAGTAATAAATAATAATAATAATAAATATAATAATAAAGCAAGAGTACCAGCATTTTTGTTTTTAATAGATTTTTATGTTTCTGAGTAAGAGCATCTCAATGTTCATCATAGAGGAAAAAGAATTTTGATGGATTTTACTTAAATTTGATAGTTATTTTTAATTACATATTGAACATTATGATTCAAACACAGGGCCCTTTACATGAAATAGCTCATTTGATCCTCACAGCTCCTCTAAGGTAGATAGTGAAGGGCACAGAGATTTTGATCCAAATCTGCATGGTTCCAAAGCTCATCCTCTTAAATCTTGGACATCTTTGTATAGTGTCTCCAGTGAAGCCCTTCAGCAGCCTAACCAAGAGGCATATCTGAATTAATAAAAGCAATTAATAAAGGTTAAGGAAAGTTGTATACAGCATAAGCCAGGAAAAAATAAATTGCATAATTAACCTGTTGAAAAAAGGTATTGAGTAGCCTCACAGGAGGCCACAGAGAAATGTAAGAGGCAAGTCCTGAGCATTCCTTTCCCCACCAACCCCTGCCAGTAACTCATACCACAGTGCAGTGTTAAAACTAGGAGACTGACATTGGCATAATCCAGAGAGCTTATTCAGATTTCACCATTGATATGTGCACCCATTTGTGCATGTGTGTGTGTTTAGGTCTGTGCAGTTTTGTCACTTGTGTAACTACCACAATCAAGATACGCAACAAGACTCCCTTGTGATGTTAACCCTCAAATGCTAATTTCAGTGAATTTTGTTACTGTATGAAGCTGTTTTTGTACACTTGAAGGTTATCATTGCAGTAATAGTGAAATATGTATTAAATGAATATCTAATCAAAATTTTTGATGGAATTGGGAATAGAAAAAGTGTTCATTTAATTTTACTATTATGCTTACTCCTAATGGACTATTGCAAGTTATTACATATAAACTTGGGAATCCATGCAATGTAAATGCTCTAATGCAATTATTTTTTAGTTGGGCATACCTAAATGTCTGTGTGCTAGTCTCCAGTGCTTTTTTGGTTCATCCTGTACACTCCAGTATAATTTAGTCTTTACTTGGTATGAATGTGATTGATCAAAAAGTCTTCACCAAAATTCAGCAGTGTAGTCAGCGGTAGTACTTAGTTATAAAGTGGTCATTCAGATGATCCAAAATATGCTTACAGAAATTATCTTCTAGACTGTCATAAAAATGAAAATGCAAAAGGTTTAAAATTTTTGCCAAATCCAGGGACTTCTGGGGAACTTGGTTTGTGTAACACTGCTTCCAACCCAATAATTCTACTTGGTACACACTCCTACAGAAACAGTCCAAAATATGAAAGAGTATTTATTTATAATTGTATTTAATTTAATAAATTAATATTTTTTATTAATTAAAATTGGAAGTAATGTGAACATCCAAAACCAGTAGGGAAATGGTCAGTTTGTGGTACGATAGATGAGCAGACATTAAAAACTTTAGGAAGAATTTTTAAAGACATGGGAAAATCAGTAAGTGAAAAAGAGAGGTATAAAATGGTGTGTACCATATGTAAATGCATGAATTTATGTTTTCACACTGCCTAGTTCCACAAAGACTTGAGAAAGCAGCATATGCACGTATGATCTCCACATCAAATATTAGTGGCTGTTATTTTAAGGTTATGGGGTTAATATTTTCCTCTTTAGTTTTTATTATATATTACAAGGTTTCTATAGTGGACCAACCTGTAGTCTAAAAAAAAACAAGTTGACCCTGAACAACGTGGGGGTCAACCCGTGCCTAACTTACAGTCAGCCCTCCATATCCGCAGTTCCTCCGCATCCGCAGGTTCAACTTACTGGGGGCTGTGTGGTACTGTAGTGTTTACTGTTGAAAAATATCCACGCATAAGTAGACCCACGCAGTTCAAACCTGTGCTGTTCAAGGGTCAGCTGTACTCCTAGATTTTCTTTAAAAGGAAATAAAAAAGCTTCTCCTTTTTGAGTAGACCAGGATACGATGTTCCTTGAGAAAGGAACAGAAGGTAATACAGACAGGCCAGGTGTTTCACACTCTTTGTGTATTTTACTATTAGCTGTTATCTTTGAATGTTAACATTGTGGATTTGAATTTCTGTTTTTTTTTTTTTCCCTAGGGGGATTTTCAGGCTACTAATAAAGTATCAGCTGGATAACCAGGATAACCCTTATTACATTGGTATCCACTATATATTTTTAAATTTATTTATTTTATTTTTGGCTGCGTTGGGTCTTCGTTGCTGCGCGCAGGTTTTCTCTGGTTGCGGCGAGCGGGGGCTACTCTTCTATGTGGTGTGCAGGCTTCTCATTGCGGTGGTTTCTCTTGTTGGGAGCACGGGCTCTAGGTGCACGGGCTTCAGTAGTTATGGCACGTGGGCTCGGTAGTTGTGGCTCGTGGGCTCTAGAGTGCAAGCTCAGTAGTTGTGGCACACGGGCTTAGTTGCTCCATGGCATGTGGGATCTTCCTGGACCAGGGCTCGAACCCGTGTCCCCTGCACTGGCAGGAGGATTCTTAACCACTGCACCACCAGGGAAGCCCCATGGTATCCAATATTTATATTAAATTGTGTGACTTTTTGTTTCATCCCATAAATTCTTTTTTCTAGAATCTAATAATAGCACTGCAGTTTTTCACAGCAGTGAATAAATGGTTTGCTCTGTGATATCGTGTCTGCCATATCGAAAATTTTCAAGCAGCCCTACAGATACACTGCTGAACAGGCTGTTTGCCAGTACAAGTTGAAAGACAAATCCAGCTTAATTTTAAAATTTCCTGTGCCACCTATGGATGTGTGTCTACCAACTACATATATTTCATATGCTGGGCATCTTAGATTTTCTTCCCCTTGAGTGAAATAATGTGTTAAATTTAAACACACATTTTAATAATCATTCAGCTCTCGTTTGACTTACTAGTTCCCTCTTTAAAAAAAAGTCAACTTTATTCACGCTGTTTAAAACTGTCCATGGGATTATGTCATACTTGGCCACAGCTGACTGCTTTCAACCAATCAGTTCTCTTTTAAGAATGTAAGCCACAGTACATAACACCTAAGTATTCCCTAGCTTTGCTTCTTCCAGAGATACTTACTTCAACACTTACTGGCTGCTTTGACATACTTTGGTAATAGCACTTTTTTTCTGTGTTCTTCGGCATGGGTATCCATATATGGGGTCATGTCTTAAATACTGACTTACGTTCACATTATCTTTTGAACTCTCCAGGACTTTCTTTTCAAGACTTTTACCAGCAGTGCCGGGAGGCATTCCTTGTCAATAGTGATCTGACACTTCGGGCCCAATTAACTGAATTTAGGGACCACAAGCTTATAAGAACAAAGAAGGTGAGACTTTGCTGCTGTAGCATTGTGTGCCACGATTAGTGTATCTCATTTACTTAAGGACAAGTATGCCTGATTATGAAACTGAGGTTGCCTGATGGGTCACAAGGATCCATTTAGGCAGTGTGCCATTTGAGTTGTGTAGACAGAGAGAAGGTAAAAGTACTCTGCTTCAGAGTAGAGCAGAAGACTTACGACTTCTAGTTCAGAGTAACAGGCCATTAGAAATGAGTCAAATAATCCTATTTCCTTCTCCCTCTCTTCCTTCTACCCTATCATTAATCCAGTCTATATTTATTGAGCACTAACTTTATATGAGATATTTCACTAAGCATTAGGATACAGAAGTTAGCAAAAACCTAATTTCTTTTCTCATAAAGCTTAAAGTCTAATGGAGGAGATGGACATTTGCCAAATAATCACACACACGTAAAGTTTACACTGTGGTGAGTCCTGTGATCAGAAGGGACATGGTTCTGAAAGAGCATATTACAGTAGGTGGATTTGACCTAGTTATGGGTATCAGAAGAGACCACTGAGCTGAGACCTAGGAAGACTAGGAGATAACTAGTCAGACAGGGAAGGGAAGAGAATTCTAGGCAGGAACAGCATGTAAAGAGGCCCCAGAACAAAAGGCAGCCAGCATGACACAAATGAGGCTGAAAAGGGCTAGACTATGCATGACTTTTAGGCCAAGGAAAGGGTTTTAATCTTTATTCTGAAATAATGGGGAGTCATTTAAAAAATTGTTCTGACAATGGTATGGAGAGTGGAATGGGGCAGGGTAAGATGGGGATTGCCAGAAGTCAAGGCACAGAGACCAGCTAGAAAGGTGTTAGTCACCTGATGGTAATCTGGACTCGGGTAAAGAGAGAAGAGTTGTTGGATTCAAAATTGACAAGAATTGATGATAGATTGGGTACGGGAGCCAAGGGAAAGGAAGGTGTCAAGAGTGATTCCTGGTTTCTGGCTTGCACAACCAGAGAGGTGGTGGGATCATTGGATGAGAAGCTGGAAGAGCAACATTTTGGGGGAGACATAGCATGAGTTCATGGTCTTATGTTTGGACTTAACTCTGTTTGAGGTTCTTCTGAGATTTCCGAGTAGAGATGTCAGCTAGGCATTTGGATTCCTGGGACAAGATACCAGACAAAAGATCTGGGCTAGAGATACAAGGTTATGATTCCTACATATTTAAGTTATAACTGAAACCAGGCATTGGTGAGACTATCTAGAGAGAGGACATATAGTGAGATTAGAGGGCCAAGAACTAAGCCTAGCAGTGTGACACTTAATGGCCAAGTAGAAGATAAGCCTGCAGAGGTGAAACAGCCACAGAGCCAAGAAGAAAACGAAGTTGTCACAGAAGCCAAGAGAAGCATGTTTTAAGAAAGAATGGTCAGGGACTTCCCTGGTGGTCCAGTGGTTTATACTCCACGCTTCCAACACAGTGGGCACGAGTTTGATCTCTGGTCAAGGAACTAAGATCCCACAACCCACATACTGCGCGGTGCAGCCAAAAAAAAAAAGGTCAGCAGTCTCAGGAGCTGCCGAGAGGCCAAAAAAGACAAAGACTGAAGATACATAATGAATTTAGGACACTGGAATTCCTTGGTGGGCTAAGCAAAAGCTCTTCTGGTGACATGATAATGGTGGCAGTAGGTAGGCTGGCCTGGGTTGAGTGAAAAGCAAGGAAATGGAGACCACCATTTATAGACAACTCTTCTGGAAAGGTGCCAGGGTTATAAGACGGATGGAGAAGAACGAGGAATCTAGTGAGGGTTATTTTAAAATGGGAGATACCCGAACCTATAGCCAATGGGAAGGATCCAGTTGAAAGGGGACTAAAAGAACAGAGAAATCAGTGGTATAAGATTTTAGAAAGAGCAGGAAGGTGGAAAATAAAATACCCACCTTCTCATCCTTTAGTCTTTTCCACTATAAAGTGGCTTAACTATAAATTCAGTGTATTTAGTAGATATATATGCCTGTGTGCCCTCTGGCCTTAATTTTTATACCTTTATATTTATATAAAATATTAATGAAATCAAATCAGTTTTTTGTTTAACTTACAACAGGATTCAAATATCTCTCTTACAAATGACTAACATCCAGGGTATTCTTACATCTTTTAGGGAACTGATGGAGTGGAATATTTATTAATTCCTGTTGACAATGGAACATTGACTGATTTCTTGGAGAAGGAAGAAGAGGAATTTTGAAGCTCTCCTGTACTCTTGAATCTTCTGTGGAAGAGTTGTACCCCAGCTGCCACTCCTCTAGTCTAAAATGTTATGTTTACATCCAATATTAGACTCTTTTTCCAATGTACAAGATTTAAAATTGGGAGGGGGAATGTCATCAATTAGCACCTTGATTATTAGCCTGGCTGGTGTACCATCCTAGTACTATGCAGTGGTCCTCAAGTTGGAGAAAATGTGCCTTTCATTCATTACCTCTCTGGAGACTTCTTGCTGGAAGGAACAGTGTGCTCAGGGACTATTTGGAGCTGGATGTTTTGAATTCTTTTATACCAGAGATGATACTCCTAATTTTTCGAGGGCCTTTTAACACTCCTGGAGCTATTTGCGTGCTTGTTCCAGAGTGTGGAAGTACAAAGACGTTGCAGCATCACGTAAATCGGCTTTATTTGCTATTCCATGTGTCAGAATTGAAGAGTGTAATAGAGAAGGCAGATCATCTCTTACTGTTTCTGAAATGGCTTAACAAAAGGTGTAAGATTGGGGGAAAGTAGGTAATTCAGCTTTCTCCTTTTGTATTTAGGCTCCATGCTGACAGAGGAAGAAGGAGCATGATGCTATTCAGTTGGGAGAGTAGGAAAAGCATAAAGAGTATATAGGGTGTATGCCCATCCCAGAAAGCACGTGAACAGTAACAGATCGTGCTGCTCAGGACGCTTAATGTCTGTGCCGTCACCTTCAGGATACAAGTTAGAAGCCAGGCTAGAGAAACACAAACCTGAATTTCATTTTAGTTATTTTTTCAAGGCAACAGAAAATAAAAATTTAGCTATTCTTGTACATCAACATGTTTTTCTTTTCTTGAATAACATGCAGATGAGCAGCATATTAATGGCTGGCTTTAAATGAATTTGATTTCTCTATCAAGTAGGCCTAAAATTCACTGTAAGACATTTCAGTGTTTTTCCTTAAAATGACAATCTCCTAAATACTCAAGCCTTTTTTTCTCTTAGGAAAGGTGAGAAGGCTAATCTCGGCCACTGGAGTCAGCTCATAGTCTTCACATACTCCCTGAACTATTTCATACTTGGAAATGAAATTCTTCATTAAGATATCACTGTAATATACTGCATCAGCATTTCTCACTCATTTCTCATCTTGTAAACCCCTTTTATGAAAATATTTCCCAAAATGATCAGAATTTTTAAAACCATTTCTTTGTGTCATATAATGAAGTAATTTTATTTTAAATCCATGCATTAAGGGGTTTAGTCTTAAGCATAATTACTAATCAAAATATTTAAATTTATACATGAATAGGATTCTAAAATTGTTTAATTGTACCAAAGGATATGCAATGAAAAGTGATTTTCCTTACCATCCCGATCCAGTCCCTTAGGCAGCCATTGACAGCGGTTTAAGCATTCTTCCCAAGGTATTCTATGCACATCTAAGGGTATATTTGTCTGTATTTCTCATTTTAAAAACACAAATGGTGGCATATGATGCTTGCTGGTTTGCACCTTGTTTGTTTTTTGCTTAATATATTTAGTTTATTATAACTTACAGTATAAAAAAGTATATGAAATCTTTAATGACCTAATGTGCAAACTTTGCATTTGCCCTTAAATATCTACTGGTTTATTTTTATAATTTTTGTGTCTATACTGTTTGCAAGCAGTATGTGTGAATAGTCTTTACTATTAATAAAGAAACCAATTTGGATATAACCATTTTTTTTCATTTATAGTACTGGGATTTTTTACTAAAGATATCTTGAAGTGCTTCAGAAGTTTTATGAGTGCATCTCACAGTTCTGATGGTGATCTTGACAGAATTATATGTTCTTCGTTACCTTGTTTCAACGTCAGTGTCGCTTCAGCTCTATCAGTTTGATTGCTAAGGCTCCAAACTTCTGCTGTTGCTCGCTTCTCGCAAGACTGAACAGACCTGAAACCTTGAAAGATTTTTCTGGCTTCTCTTAATAAAATGGCTAAAATAGGCCAAAAAAGGCACAGGGGATGCAGGACAGACAGTTACACTCTACAAACTTGGCATAATACTGAATTCCTTAGGCAGGGAGTTCTAAACCAGTTCTTGTGATACTCCAGAAACTGAACTTTCTTAGCATCATGTTTGCCATTTTAATATATGAACATGTCATTCATACAAAAGATCAGTAAGTTCGAGGGATGGTGCATAGGTTTTACTTAAAAAAAAAATTACTAACAAAACTTTAGAAATCTACAGTTGACCCTTGAACAACACAGGTTCGAATTGTGTGGGTCCACTTAAATGCAGATTTTTTCCAATAGTAAATACTACAGTACTACACAATCCACGGTTGGTTGAACCCACGGATATATAAAGAGAAACAGCATACAAAGGGAGAGCCAACTATAAGTTATACTTGGATTTTTTTACTGTGCAGAAGGTCAACACTCCTAAACCCCACATTGTTTAAGGGTCAACTGTATTTTTCCCCCCAACCAATTCAAACCTGGAGCCAGTAGCAAGTTCACAATGTATTTTCCTACATTCTAGGAGGTGAGGTGACTCTTCCAGCTTAGTCCTGAATGGCTCTCAGATACAACAGTGAGTCATGAGAGTCTGCCTCATCACAGACTGTGTCTCCTAAAAGCCAAGGGATAAACTGTCATGTAAATGACTTTCTCAGGCTTTTTGTAATTATTTGATCTCTCTCCCTTGGGAGAGTCTCCCATACTTTAATTTTTCAAATTGCTGTTAAGCCATGTTAATTCATGTTTGCTGAGAACTTACTAAGTAGAAGGCTCTGTGCTAGGCAGTTGAGAGAATATGAAAATGTGACGTGAAATATCTAGTTGAGGTTTTAACAGCATTAAAAATTACAGTATCCTTAATGTGTTGAATAAAGTAAATTTGAAATAACTAACACTATGGAAAATATAACTTTAAGCATGAGTATAACAAAGCTCATTACCAAATTTTCATTATTTTGGCATATATCACTTGGGCCTCAAGTCTTAAGTATTTAGGTCACCTAAATACTTCAGCATCTTTACTTTTGCTACCCAAAGTGTGGTCCTCAAAATGGCAGCATCAGCATCTCCTGGGAACTTAAGAAATGCTTGGGCCCTTACTCATGCATCTGAATCAATCTGCATTTTAACTAAATCTCCAGATGTTCTGGTACACATTAAAAGTATGGAAAGCAATGATGTATACAACTAAGCGATCAACGTGTTAAAGTTAACAGTTCAGAAAATTTGACAGCTGAAAGTAAATAATCTTGAGTGGTACTTTTTAAAAAACACAGGAAGAAAAAAATAAAAAATAAAAATAAATCCTGCATAGGATGTGTTTGGGGGTATTTTTAATTATTTAGAAATGCTAGCATGCCAGTAAAGAAACCGGATTTAACTAAAATTACTTCACTGAGATCCTTACTGCCGTCATCAGTCAGTTACAGGTGAAATCACATCACACCTTGAGTGTGCTATAAAGAAAAAAAGGAGGGTTTGAGAGCTACTGGCCTCAGTTCATTTCTCTGTCATCACCTCTGACCATACCTTCCTGCGTTGTGCTTTCCACCATGACAGTAATTACTTGGGTTTTTCACTGTGCCGTGCTGTTTCTCTACTTAGTGCACTTGTTCAAGCTGTCCCTCTTGACTGAATTCTACCCCCTTTCCCCAGAAGACCTTCCCTATAAACCCTATGCATATCTTTATCATAGTTACTTAAGAGTTTATTGTAACCGTCATCCAGACTTCTGTCCTATCCTCCCCACATCTCTATGGGCCCAGCACACAGAAAGTGAACAGTGGATGAATGAAGGAAGCAAATACCATTAAGACAGTCTCTCAAAGCTGCTATCATCTCATTCTCTCTACTGTGACAAAGCTGACCATCTCATTGAAGCTTTCTGTTCTTGGCTTCTGACACTTAGCTGTTCTCCCACCTTTCTTGGTGGCTCCTCCAACTCTAACTGGGGGGCATTTCATAAGGCTCACTCCTACTGGTTATTTCTGTAGTGAATCAGTATTACAGATGAACCACCAAGAATAATTTATAAGTTAGGATCCCAAAGCCTCCAGGAGAAAAAAGATTGGTAGGAAAAGGATCCTACAAAGGAAATAGAAAATTCTATGCTTCTCATCTTAGACAAATAGTATTTTAAAAGATTTGCTTTTGCCATTACCATAGTAACATGCTCAGTGGAGAAATTGGAAATACATATAAAAGCATTAAAAAGAAAAAATGGGGACTTCCCTGGTGGCGCAGTGGTTAAGAATCCGCCTGCCAATGAAGGGGACGTGGGTTTGATCCCTGGTCCGGGAAGATCCCACATGCCGCGGAGCAACTAAGTTCGTGCGCCACAACTACTGAAGCCTACGTGCCTAGAGCCCGTGCTCCGCAACTAAAGAGGCCACCGAAGTGAGAAGACCACACACCGCTACGAAGAGTAGCCCCCGCTCGCCGCAACTAGAGAAAGCCCACGTGCAGTAATGAAGACCCAACGCAGCCAAAAAATATATATATATATTAAATTAAAAAAAAAACAAAAAACCTCTCATCATACCCCCCAGAGAAAATCACAGTTAAAATGGACTTTTTTTTCCCTTCAGGATTTCTTCCATACCTCTTCTATCAGTTCTGTCATCAATGTATTTGATTAAGATACACTGTAGTTAAGCACACAGGCTCTGGAGCCAGACTGCCTGAGTTTGTGTCCTAACTAACTCCATCACTTCCTAGCTACGTGGCCTTGGGCAAACTACTTAACCTCTGTTTCAGTTTCCTCATCTGTAAAATGGGAGTAACAATACTTACATGCTTGTTTATAAAGGATTGAAAGTGTTTATAAAGCACCTAGAAGAGTGCCTGGCACAAAATTAATACTGTATAAGTAAGTACTCACTAACATTATTTTGAAAGTTAACCATCTTTATATTGAATACATTACTAATAAAATTACAGGTGAGTTACCTAAAAAGCAATAAAGCAATAATTACATGAATAATGATCATGTATATTTAAAACAAAAAGCAAAACTCATCCTGAGGGACTTCCCTGGCCGTCCAGTGGTTAAGACTCCATGCTTCCACTGCAGGGGGCACTGGTTTGATCCCTGGTCGGGGAACTAAGATCCTGCATGTGGCACAGCATGGCCAAAAAAACCCAAAAAACTCATCCTGATTCTGAAATTTAGGTGGGAGGTTAGTGATCTAGGAACAGAAACATACAGATAGACCTTATCACCCTCCAGGGGCTACTACCTATATACAGGTGTTCTAATCCCGAGTTTTAAAGTTTATATGTATATATATATATTTTTTGGAAAAGTATATTTTTAAAATAACTAAGGACAGAGAGATATAGAATGACACATCCCATCTATAATTAAGCTAAGGAGATGATTACTTGAGCTACTGATATTTCCCAAGAATGTTAAGTAAACAGGTTTACTCCATCTTTCCTAGAGGTTATAATGAATACATATTATACAATATATTCTTTAATTTGTTCTTTATAATAATTGTGCTTTAATGGTAATTATATTATTGTTTTTACCTTCTGAGCTACAGAACATCTGGTGAAGCAGATCAAGAAACCAGAAATGATAATGTACCTTCTAAGACATTCTTTCAGAAGGATACCCCACTGATTCATGTTATGCATTTGAGTTGGGAGCCATTCGATTTGCAGATTGTGTCATCTGGTTGTTCCTGCATGCATTATACCACATGAAGAGGGTCCCTGTCTATTTCTGACACGATAATATTAATCTTATTCTCCAAGTAAGCATCCAGCATATCTCGAAGATCAGAAAGAAAGCCTCGTTCAGTGTTGCTATGTTCACAGAGGATCACATTTATTCCTTGGGAAGCAGCATCTAGAACATCATGATGGGACATCTCACCTGCCAACAAAAGAAAGAACAAATATTTAAATATTAGACACAGAGTCTGAGGAATGCTGAACCATAACAGCAGAAATACCAACTTTGCATTCTGTATGAAGCAAATGTAATACACCAGAACTTTACATATAAATCTAGAAAGTTATATGCATGTTTCTTATATGTCCTCCAATTTAAAAAGAGATACGGAATTCCAAATTCTTTCTCCTTGGCAGATCCAAGGCAAGTAGCCAAATTCACACATCCAACAGTATCTGATACTGCCATAACTAGACCTGTAGGAACACCCATTCAAAATGTTTCCACAATAAAATAAACGACCACTGCTAAGTAAAATGGGGCTTTCAAAAAGTTTCTTTCCTATGTAACTATGAAATAACAAATACCTCAAGAAAATCCTAGGCTTACAGTGATGTGAAGCCCACACACGGCAACGAAGAGTAGCCCCCGCTCGACGCAACTAGAGAAAGCCCGTGTGCAGCAACAAAGACCCAACGCAGCAATAATAAAATATAAAATGAATAAATCTTTAAAAAAAAAGAAAGTCCTAGGCTTACTTCCCAGAGACTCCTTTACACTTTGTGAGTACCAAAATTTTCAGCATCAACCGTAGTCTAATTCATAAGGATGAAATGAACTTAAGGTTATTTCTAAATTAAAAGCAAGGTATTTTCCTTTGACTTAGGCAAAACGCCTAGAAGTTACTGGTGGAAGAGGATCTCATCTTTTGTGAAAAGATTTTGGGAAAACTCAAGTGTTTTGAATTTTAAAAAACACCATGTATGAACCTGATGACTTCCAACTTAAAAGCAAAAATATATTATGCACAATTTGGCTTG